AATTTAAAAGCTGCAAATAAACAAATGAAGCAAAAATATTTGGGAATAAACATGAGGTAATTTTTCATGTTACTACAGAGCAGCAACCTATCACCAAACCAAAATGTTTTCCATCACTTAGACGTTGAGATAGAATAAAAGTGTTACTGAACATAATTTTCAAAACATCTCAAAATCAAAGCCTTAAAATTTTTGTCTACTTCGTTTAAAAACATATCGATACAAAAAAAAAAAAAATCATTGATTTTCTACGTTCATACTATATTTAGCGTAAAAAAACCAAAAAAGCTTCCGTACCTCAGGTAAGTTTTACTGTGATACTTACTGATTTTTCCTAGTTATTCTTTCCTGTTCTGAGCTTATTCAAAACGACTTTGTTAAAATCATGTCATCAGATTCTCTCTTCATTCAAATCAACGCTTTAACATATTCAATTTCGTTGGGATATATCAAAATACTCAAACTCACCGCTCTAAGTGAAGCCCTAATAGCAATACAACGTAAAAAATACGAGGTTGAAAGCACAACCTGGACTAAACTCCGCTTCTTCAAAAATACAAAAACAGAAAACATCAAAAGAGTGAGATTCCAACCATTCAGAATACAAGAACTTAAGCAACGAGTTAGATACAAAAAAAAATTAGTCAAAAACTTCAAGAATAACAAACCAACCCAATAAAAAATCTTGGCTTTATTAAAAATGCACTATTCAGGGAAACAAGAAAATGAACTCTGATAAACCGGTCACTGTACTTCCAAGTCAAACTGGTGTAAAGTTAACTCAATGTCATGGCAAGTCTTTATTTGTTCCATTGGCAAGAAAATCTTTCGCAACTCTATCTTTAGAAACACTAATTGATTCTATCTTTAGAAACACTAATCAGCGTGTCAAAACTGTTAATGAAGGAAATATTATGGAGAAAAAACAGACGTTTAGAAGTGACTTTAACCAAAAAAATGTTCAAACAAAAAGATTAAAAGGCTCAGATTAACTACAACATCTCATACCTAACACCATAAAATTTTTTACAAATATTTTTAAAATTTTAAAACTAGAGCTAAAAGAAAAGACCTACAACCGGAAAAAATAACACAACATGCAGGAAATAAACCAAATGAGCATTAGGTTTAGTTCTGTTGACCATTAGACTAGAGCGAGCTCATTCACATGGCTAAAGCCATGCGAAATGAGCTCGCTTTTTGTTATTTGACGTATTATAACTTCAACAACTTTTTACTGAAAAATTAAAAAGATATGGCTTAAAATCTAGAATTTCACCCACCTAAGTTTCATTCACTCCATTACAAGATAGAGAAACCAGGAAAATCCCCTGTAAAGGACAAACTACCAAAATGCAAAGACGATACTTGGCGTGAGAAACAAAAGTAATTTTACGCGTATAGTAGAGTATACTCAAGTCTTCCTCAATTACATTATGCAAACCTAGCCAATTTAGGAAGTCGTGTAGCTCACGATCCATTGCAGCAACTGTCGTTTCTGTTGAGAAGGATATCCGCGCAGATCGCCGTTTTTGTAACCTTTCGTCAGACGACTATGAAGAATTAATTTTTAATACTCAGCAGTAACAAATTTTAGACAGCTCTGTAAATACTGCTTCTGTTTTTCTTTAAAGAAAAAAACCAAGTAAACCAAATTGTTTTAACTGCAGACTGACCATAAAAAATTTAAGGAATATGGCAAGAACATTCTGAATTGTATTCGGAACACCTCGAATAGTCACTAAATCGATATGTTTCCCATTAAACGTATGCGAAAGAAGATTATATTGCTTATCAATAAGATCATTGTTGAGTACATTTCTGTCACCAAAAAATCTAGGAGTTGCTTGACTAAACGCTTGAACAAGTTCAGTAACTTCTCGGAAATTCTTCCCATACATATGGCAACAAAGCTGTAAAAAAATAAATTGCATTTGATACTTTACTGATAAGTGAAATTAGGTCCTAGTCATACTTTCGCAGCACTAATTTGACAGTGCGCTGAAAAGCTTATACAGTCGTAATAAAACTGATAAGGTAAAAATAAAAAAACTATATGCGCAAAAAATTCATTTAACATTTTCAGAAGTACAAACTCGTTAACGCAAAAGTACCTTACAAAACTTAAAAATCGAAAAAAACAGTCAAACAGCCCCAAAACATACGAAGCTCTATGGCGAGCCTTAAAAAACTAGGATGACTCAGAAGCACATGTTTAATAAATGCCTTCAGAAAGCATTACTATTGTAATATAATTTTGATGGCAGAGACGTACTCTATCGCTATCAATTAAAAAACCGTTTCAAACAACTTTTTGAACTTAGAAGCACAAACTAGAAGAAGAAACTGAATCTTTGCTTTGAAAATGCTGAAAAAATTCAGAGAATAATGATTTAATGAAATGTTTAAAAAACTTAATAGGAAAAAATTGTAAAAAGAAAAAATATTAGAACCAGGTTTTCATGCAACACATTGTGATATCTGGTCTAAAATTTATAAAACTTCACCACAGCTTTATAAGTGATAAATCAAAACAATGTAAAACTATGTCAGTACAAAAAAAACTAAAAATTTGTTTTCTTGTTGGTAGACGTCTTCAGGCCCGAAAAATAATTTAAAAATTACTAGAATCTAAGGCACACATAGAATAGAAACATTTAGGTCCAAAATAACAATCACAGCTCAAGCACTTAATTTTGTAAAGAAAATAATGAAAACCAAGTCACTTTACCGTTTCCTTTTCGAAGCCATCTAAAATAATATTCATCCGTGTCTGTAATTTTGGCTTCATCGATAACTCTTTCAACTTCAGTTACACTGTCGCCAAAAATTTCAACTGTCATTGCACATAGTTTACCGTATTTTAACTGCGACAAAACTTTTTCAAGTTCAGCTTTTTTGAATACATCTGCTCTAGAAAAATAATACAATGAAAAAAATTATAGCACTTTTCTTATCAAACATTTAAAAAGGCTTCTTTCTTTACATCCAAAAGATCAAATGGTTTTTCGTACCAGAAAGCACCATGTCTAAAGAAACCTCAAAATGTATAACATTATTTCACAAATATAACAAAAAACCTCTATTATGCAATGCAGGGTTCTAATTAAATAGACCTATGCTTACGTCGATGACACAAATACGTTCTCACATTCAATAATTCGAGCAAGGATTTCAACCTCTTTTTTTTTTCACGTCCACAGTTACGCTACAATATAAAATAATTTATCCTGGTTTTGAAACCAGACGAACCACTTTCTCAGAATACCTGTTTCTACACAGGAAAATCGATAATGAAATTATTTGACACAAAGGGGTAACTTACCGTATATGGAATGAAGGACGAGGGAGGCGCTTTATGTTCATAGCTACAATGTCATATAAATACCGGCATGATCTGGACAGCCGACAAACAGTAAACGGATCCACAAGTAAAGCTATGTAATACACAGAGGGTACAGGCAGTGATAACATTTCACCCTAAAAACTTCATCATCACTCCGGTCAATGCACAATGACTAATTCTTGTGGAAAAATATAAGATTCGACATGCTCTTAAAGAAATTTGAAATAGCAACGGTAAAATTTATCAACGCTATATAAAAACGGATTGCTTCAAGCTCATTTCTGATAAGCAGTAAACCAGTGTCTACAAAGGCTCTAAATTAAAGGCTATGTTTCGTTTGCTTAAAGAGTAGTGAAACACATCGATATGATATAAAATCAAAAAAAAAAATTTTTTTTCAAATTATTACTTTTTTCCCTCCTTTTATTACCTAAGGTTCGATGAAACATTTCTAAAAAGTTCCCCTTATCAAATACACAAAAATAATTGAAACCAACCTATACAAAATGTCCTACATCGCTCAACCGTAACTTAGAACTGTTAACAATCGGTGTAATTCTCCGACATGATGTATACCACTGTTGAATTGGAGATAACTGATTATTGGCTGCAAAACCCTAAAAAAAGAATATCAGCTGAAGCAAAAAATGATCTGTGGCAATTCAAGTGGCAATTTTTTGCGAAAGAGCTGAAAGAGCTGAGCTTCAGTAAAACTTTCTTCGTGATTTGTTGCAACATTTGTAGTTGTTTGGTGCACATGACATTTCTGTCAATGACTAGATGGATCTCTAGTTTTTTCACCTTTTTACTACAACTAAATATTTGTTCTGAGCTTATTCAAAACGACTTTGTTAAAATCATGTCATCAGATTCTCTCTTCATTCAAATCAACGCTTTAACATATTCAATTTCGTTGGGATATATCAAAATACTCAAACTCACCGCTCTAAGTGAAGCCCTAATAGCAATACAACGTAAAAAATACGAGGTTGAAAGCACAACCTGGACTAAACTCCGCTTCTTCAAAAATACAAAAACAGAAAACATCAAAAGAGTGAGATTCCAACCTCTTTTTAGTTGGGTGGGTGTTTTTTTGGAAAATTACAAAAACTGAAACATTTTCTATGGAATTTTATCGAGACATGTTGTGTGTGCGCCAGTCAGCTATAAAAATTTCGGAAAATGGAGAAATTTTTGACAATTATGAGGCCGTTCCGCAGTTGCGAGGTATTGTAACGTAAGACCCTGAATGGTTTTGTATTGAGAACTCTTGATAGAAGCCTGATGACGGAAAGTAATATGTGGCTGAGCCTCTAAAACTTTAAGGTTGTAGTGGTGTAAATTTTCCCACGTGGAATTCATTGAGATGACTTTCATTATGCTCAATTTCATCATTTCTGAGTCAAAAACGATGGCAAGATACTGAATCCTTCTGTTTGCCGAAAATCGGCTCGTATTCTTCGCCATTCTTTCGCGACACGCGAAGAGTAAATTTGTCAAAAACGTGTACATTAATGCGCTACTATCGCCGAAGTTATCGCCAGTGGAATACGGCTGTTACTTATGCATTATGAACAACAACTGGCAGAAGATCGAAGAAAATTTCCTCTGCTCTGTAAAGCGTAGGTCATGCAAAAAAAACAAGTATGGATCAGAAGAGTTTCTCTGGAAGTTTCGTCGAGGATGGAAATTAGTGGCATTAACGAGCAACGGAAATGGTATGCAGTTAGAGCAATTGCCGATTCAATCGCTTGACGTGGTACTGATATAGATTTGGGCTCTCCACGGTTTGCACTTATAAATTGTTACGCTTTAAAAAATTCCAGAAGTCCCATAATTTAAAAAAAAGGAATACTGTCTGAAATAAACAAAAAGGGTAGGACGAAGTGTCGAGATGCTCGCTTCGGCTCTTTGATTAAATTTGAGCAAAGGCAAAACTTAGTCTGTATTATCATCTGTTACTTTCGTGACTTAAGGTTCTTCACTCAATTTTTAATTTATTTTTTCGGTATGGCTTGAAGTTTGCCGCTTATCTGTTGACAAAAAGTTCTTTTTTCTTTTGGTCTCGTGACTTTTTGCTGTAGTTCCGGTCCCTTTGTAGCGGTTCAGTAAAGCTTTCAGAATTGCTTAAATAAACCTTAATCTTGCGGGTACGGTGTGTCATATCATGCATTACAGGTAACATCAGCAAAAAACGGCAATATCTATGCATTACTTATATAACAGTGACGAAGCAGTGACGCGAAACGATCAACAAGTACCTATTTGGATGGTCCGAGCTAACATGAACAAAACAAGGACTCTTTGTTTAGCAGGTCACCTTAAGGTCTAAATAAAATATCTACTTTAGTACCGAAGCTTATGGCCTTTCCAAAAATTTGCTTACGTTATTCTGTTTCTTCCTCATTCGCCTCCGGCTATATCATGTCTCTTCTACTCTCTTTTGCGAAGTCAGTAAATACCAACGGGACGTCTCTTTTACACGCTTACTGCGTATGAAAAGTCCGACGTACAAAAGTATGTTGTTCTGTTAAACTCATTCAATTAAGCGGCACTTTGGTACTTGTGTAGTTGATAGCTTCACCTAACAATTACGATAGCTTTTTTCCTTATCTTTGGTAGCATACCTTGCTACTGTGTCAAGCTTTTCTGGAAGGAACTCCTTCTTTGTCGACGTTCCTAATTTCGTACTCAGCTGTAAAAATTTTTACGGCTTTTCTTTTTTCGCTTTCATTGTTTCACTCTGTTTTGTACTTCATGCCCCTGAAAAATCATTACAATCTCCTCACATTAAAAGCGATTAAAACAAAGTGTGGGACGCCGGTATTAGATGCTGTCTTACTGACGAGTAGACTTAGAGTAAGTTAGCAGTGTTTCTCGCAAAGAGATAACTGAAACTCCAGATCAAGCACTGTTCAAGCACTAGTATAAACTTGACTGTAGTCTGCTTCACTCATAGGTTGGATTTTCTGCTGACAAACCAGTGTCTCATTCGCTGGATAAAAAGCATGGGAACATAAAATTACCAAGGGGTTTTCAGCAGTTGGGAAGGAGTAAGGACAACGATGAGATTCCCATCAGTGTTAGCTTTTTATTTTCTTGTAGTATTCAAGAGCTTTATTATTTGGATTGAATTTGTTGTAAATGAACACTTACAGCATGTCATAAATTGCTGATGTACCTTTAATGCTATGACATCGTTACAGAGATGTAGAAGTGTTAGTATTTAGAGAAGGATTTCAAAATTCTATTGTTTTATTCATTTAAATGTTGGATACGAGTTTTCTTCAAATTTTTTATTGTATATATTTGATATACGGCTAAAGAGGGCAGTTTTTGCGAACTTTTTGTGACATCCACCATCAACGCCGCTATTGCTCACTTATTTTTCCAAGCTAAGTGGTCCTCTTTGCTACAGTGCGATAAAAAGTTTTTGAATCAGAAGCTATTGGAATAAAAAAAGCTTGTTGCTGGTCTACACAATAAAAATTCAGGAATATCTTCAATATATTTATTTCTTTATATACACACATATTATACCTTGTTATCTTGGTGACGGCTCTGCTTAGTTTTTAAAAGCAGATACTGGTGCTGGTGTTGATTTTATAGCTACAAAACAAATACAATTACAGTTACTACAGTAGGCTAATATTGAAAATTAATAATCGCTTTACTCTTCAGCACATAACTTTCGACGCTGTTAGACATCAGAAAACGTTCTGTGTATTTTAAGAGCAGTATCACACGACCACTCCGGAGATTCGAAGCTTGATTTGACGATTTTTAGTGGGCCAGTATTTGGTCAAGAAATCGTTACTTCTAGCGACAACCTTCCAGCGGCTTTTCATTCTGCTTGCAGTATTTCAAAAGCCAATTTTAGACTATTTTTACGCATGAAATTTGTTCATTGTTTTTAGAATACGTGGTCTTTGTAAGCAGTCACTCTCTGGGAGTCACTCAAAAGATTCCTGATGAGATTTAGGCTTGACGATTGATGAACCTTTCTTTTTACTGTGACTCATTTGTTGGCTGTTCAGTAACCAGTTCCGTGGGTGGGGTATTTTGAGTTATTATGTTTACAGACATCCAGCTGTCGGGAAATCTTTTTAATGTAGCAGGAACAAACTTTTTGGACGTATTTTTGCATATCTGCCGTATGAGGAGTCAACAGTGAGTTTGAACCGCGCTTGGCTTATCACCTTTTAAACGGCAGATTCCGTAAACCTAAGCTGGAAGTCGTCACTGAAAAAGATAAGTCTTGATTCGTTTTTACCTTCTCCCATCGAGGTATATTTCAGCTGAAGTGCTGCTTTTGCGAGTTTTGGTTGTTCCAACGCCAATTTCTTTTATCCTGGGTCATCTCACAGGTTCTGCGTTTAAATTGAAACCAGCTGACCTTGTGCGCGTGACTACGTGGACATTTATGACGGACCTTTGATTTGCTTTCGGCAGTCGCTGCATCATTCTGTCTTGCTCTAGACTGAC